AGCTTTACTTAATAAAGCGGAATACGTAGCATTGGCTATATCTATAGTGGGTGTGCCAGCGATTGCTGCTCACGCTCATCTTAACATTAACACTGTTGCGTGTAATTTGGCAAAAACAATTTATGCTACTTCTTCAGCTATTTCAGCAATCAACCACGAGTTGCAAGCTTTGCAAAAGGCTATTTTACAAAACCACGCTGCTATTAATTATTTGCTTCTGTGGCAGCATTTGGGTTGTGAAAGTTTCGAAGGAATGTGTTGTTTTAACCTTTCAGATAAATCATGAACCATCCAGCACCGGCTCAATATTTTACACAATTTAGCCTCTGATTTGAAAATTGATACTTTAGGATTTTGGTGGAAAAGCCTTTGGGCTTGGTTGCCCACAGGCTTATTGGGAAATGTCCTACATTATTGAACCATTATCTGTGCTATTTTGATTGGTGGGGGCTGTTTTGCTCAGTGTCTTCCTTCCTTTTGCAATATATGCATCACAGCTTTTCGCCCTGAACCCCCTCCCACACTGCCTCAGGGTCAGGTATATGCCCTGTATAAGCAACACAAGGATGTTCCTCTCCTGATTATGACCCCCCCCCTACGATACCTTGTCTAACAAAATAGAAAAGAGTGAGATGTAGAGATAGAGGTCATATAAAGGTTATGTAGAGGCCGTGTTCAGCAAACTGCCGCGCCTCAGTAACTTTTTACCTCAAATGTCTATGAGCTCACCTAATTAGCACCTCCAGGCAGCACCAGGAACCATCAAGATATGCGAGACTCTACCTTGCCTGGGATGTTTTTAAAAATTGACAAGAATACACCAATAATGATGCTGTTACTATATACTCTTTGCTGCTTGTTAAATACCGCAGTGCCGAGGAGCCTCGGTGGGCCTCAGATAGCCAGGCCACCTGGCCTGGTGAGGAAAGCCATCCCACATGGGAGCAGAGCAAGGCTGGAAGAGAGCCGCTTCTCCCCTGTGGCGAAGCGCATGTTCGTGGGGAGCCCTGTGCTAAATCATTCATAGACGACCTGATTGTTAAAACTGTATAAAAAGCAATAAAGTCTGTGAAGGCAGAGAGACATTTTGGGTACCCTGTTATGACTGGTTTCTGAATCGATCACTGGAAAAATCTAGAATATAATCCATCCCCTTGCTCAAGCAGGAGACCTCATACCATTTCATACAGATATGAAAAATCTTATTAAAAATCTCCAGTGATGTAACATCAACAACTTCTGATTGCAAGCTGTTCCACTAGTTAATTGTTCTCACTGTTAGGAAGTTTCTCCTTAATTTCAGGTTGCTTCTCTCCTTGATTAGTTTCCATACATTATTTCTTATTTTGCCTTCTGGTGCTTTGGAAAATAAGTTCTTTGTGGCAACCCTTTAAATACTGGAATATTGCTATCATGTCCTGACAAGTCCTTCTTTTCTCTAAAATATCAAATTCCTGAAACTGTTTTCATGTTTTTATCTCCAGGCATTTAATGATCTTAGAATAGACTCTATTATAACATCTATGAATGCTGTAGATCCTAGAGAGGATCTATCTATGTGGTTATTAAAAGGTGACATTAATCTAATGATTCTTAATCTAGTTTCAACCTAAGCATATCCACTGAAGAAGTTCTCTTGAGCCACTGCCATAGTTGCTCTTTAGTAGTTTTTCCTTACTTTCAATTGGCCTTTGCCTTCTCATATGTTAAGACCATTCTTCTATGATCTGAAACTGAGCAAGCAAGAATAGGTATTGATCTGTCTTTATATGATTTCCCTTTAGATCTTTAAACAGTCATTTCCCCTCTCAAAGTTAAAACAGTTACCACCATCGCTCCACATAATATTTAGCCCCAAGATCAACTTCATTGTGTTTCTCTGCATTTTCTTTAAATATAATACCCAGATTGGAGTTTGTATGATCAATACAAAATAGAGAACTTATTAATAGAGCAGTACAAAATTGCAATCCATCCATATTGTTTTAATTTTTATTCATATTTTCCCACCCAAGTTTGCATCATCTGGAGATCTAATAAGCATTCACTCATCTAAGTCATTAATAAAAATATTCAAGAGTAAAGGACTCAAATTTGTGACAAAGATCAAATTGTTATTCCTAGTATGATAAGGAGATATTAATGCTCTTTGATTATCATTAGAGTTTGTCATAATCAACCAAATGTTTAAACTGTCTTTAGCATATTTATTTAGCTATCAAACCCTTCCCAATGACCTGGGAGAGGCAGATATTGTTGTCTGTTGGTGTTAAAGGTATTGTTGTATATTGTAAGCTTTTTCCCAGTAAAGCTACCTTTTGCTGTTGGATGATGATGATTTTGTCAATGCCAGTGGGTAAAAATGGTATTCCAGATGTTTTGGGTTTGCACCCAAGATAATTTTCATTATTGGTAGTATTTTGCTTTCTCTTGCCAGTCATTCTAATTCTATTTGCAAATCTTCGTATTTTAAGATTTTCTCCATTTTTCTTTCTTTTCTATTCTGCTGTCTCTAGGTACTTCCATGTAAACTGTAGCTTTATTAGCTAAGCAGATAATCATAATGAATCTCAAATTGAACACTGTAGGCACAATATCCAAATTCAGTGGGATCAGAAACATTTCTACTAAACCACAATGGAGGAGCTTCGGTGAACCAGACAACACCTGACAACAAAGAAACAATGCAGTTCTGGGTGCAACTATGGGACAATCCAAAGAGATACAACAAGAATGCAGCTTGGATAAAGGAGGTGGATAAAATAAAAAAGGTGAAATGAAATAACATGTAATAACTGAATAACTAAAATGGTAGAGAAAAAGACAAAGATCAAGAATTGATCAGCATCATGTGGAGATGAACTACATGATTTTTTGGTTGAAACATCTGACTTGTCTAATCCATTTGTGGCCAAGCAGTTTAACAACATACTACAGAGGTGAAATTGAAGATTAGTTAACATCTGGTAGAATCTATATGATAGTGAAAGATCCAGCAAAAGGAGTAACAGAGGCAATTACAGACCAATTATCCACTTACCAACAACTTTCAAGTTACTAACTAGTGTGTAGCTGGTAAAGTTCAATAGCATCTAGCCGAAAACAAGCCCTTTCCACCTGAACAGAAAGAAAATTGCCCACACAGCAGAGGAACAAATGATCAACTCCTAACTGACAAAATGATTTTTGAAAACTGTAAGAAGGAAGACCAACTTGAATGTAATGTAGTGTAGCTTGGATTGATTACAAGAAACCATTCAACTCCCTGACATGTTTGGACAATCAAATGCCTAGAAATAAGAGTCAGTAGAAACCTGACATTTACCATATTTTTCAGAATATAAGATGTACCACCTCCCCCCCAAAAAGTGGGTGGAAATGTCTGTGTCTCTTATATAGCAAATATAGGGGAGAGGGGGGTTTGTGCAATGCCAATCAGCTCTTCTAGAATGGGCCACGGCTGCAAACAGGCCCCAGCAGCAGCAAACAGGTGCTCGTTCATATAATCATTTCTAATAAATTGTGAACATGGAAACAAAACAAACCAGAGTTAAATGCATGACATTTCTCAAATATGTTAGATAAAGTACAGGTAATCCTTAATTTACAACCACAATTAAGTCCAAAATTTCTGTTGCTAAGCAAGGTAGTTATTGAGTGAATTGCACCCCATTTTATAACCTTTTTCACAGTTAAGCAAATTACTCATTAAGTGAATTATGCAGTTGTTAAGTGAATCTGGCTTTCCCCATTGACTTGGCTTGTCAGAAGCCAGCTGGGAAGGTTACAAATGCGGATAACATGATTCCAGGACAGTGCAACGGTCATAAATACATGCCAGTTGCCAAGTGCCTGAATTTAGATCACATGATCAAGGAGATGCTGCAACAGCCATAACTGTGAAAACCAATCATAAATTGCTTTTTTTTCAGTACCATTATAATTTCAGAGTCAACGTTGTAAATTGAGGACCACTTGTAAGTGTAAACATAATATCCCCTTCATGGTTTTTTTTTCAGCAAAAAAGCTGGCTAGCAATTATAACAGATTCCTTGCATTTTCATGTTTCTCCTTCTGTGTTCCTTTTAAAATGACAAGCAGTCCAGACTTGTAAGGAGTCAAATGGCCTCTAAACTGTCAAATTATTACTGAAATTATCTCAAATGCAAACCATGATCGGTTTTCCGTCCAGCAAATTGATTTCCACGTCTATAAATTGGAAAAGAGGAAAAAAAGGGAAAGTGTATAAACTGATGAAAAGAAAACTGCTATTAAGTAGTAGGTGGTTTCTCCAGGAGAGGATGATGGTTTAGAGGATCCGCTCATACAATATTGCTTTACAACTAGAAAGACGGATTACTGCTTTCCATCTTCATTTAAAACTTATCATTACTTTATGTTACCCTCCCTCAGCCTGGGATTCTATAAGAACGTTGGACTACAACTCCTATCACACCTATCAAAATAGCTGTGGGATGCGGCTGACTGGGAATTATGGGATTTGGTAATCCAAGGCGTCGGGAAGACCTATTTCTGAAGAAAGCCGACTTACACGGCTTTCTCAATTGAAAAGTTATTGAAAGTTATTGCGCGGAGGGGGAGATGAACGGCGATGCAGAAAGGACACGAACAACAAGCCTGGGCAAAACTTGGCAAAACAAAGGAAGAAGTGAGCGGCTGCCAGGCTAACGCCAGTGGCGGACACCTCGGTTTGAAGTTGAACAGGCATATGAACTCCATGAAATGACAGGCCCTCTCAATTATAAAATGCCTAAATAAAATGATTTCTGCAATTGATGATTCCTAACCCTAACCCTAACCTCGTCTCTCCGGTCCTGCTCCGGCCGGTTCTGCCCAGCTGCAAATGAAGGAAGGGCAGCGTTACCCGCCGGACGGCCACGGGGAGAACTGAATTTTTTCCCCCAAAAAAACAAAATACGGCGCCGCTGGTGCTGCCTAGACTACCAAACAACAAGGCGCCTTCGCGAAGAGCGTCCTACCTTCGCCAGCAGCCCCTCGCCCACTCCCCGCAGCCTCTACGGGAAAAGCATCTCNCCAATACAGATATTACATCTATGGTTTCAATGCTATCAAGCAGTGGAAAAATTTGGCTCTGATGCTTTGGCAGGATAATTGACCACAAAATCTACACCTGATTACAATCAAATAAAAATTATTCCCACGAAATCATCTTCAATTGGACCTTCAGCTCCTCATGAAGAGGCTAATTCTTCTGCTTCTCCACGGCCATTGTATACTCCCATGAGGCAAATTCTAGAGGAACAATTAGCAAAAGTGTGGGGGGGAGAATATAGAATAAATTGCTGAATTGTTGTCTGTTTGTCCAGTACACGCTACGGGACAAGTAGATCAGAATAGAGCTTAGATAGTAGAATATTGTCCTCTGTCATATGCAGTTTTAACGGAACTTAGAAAAGGTATTAGAGATATAGTATGGGTTTGGGTAGTACCTATATGCAGGGAATGCTGGGAGCCATTATGAGAAATCATATTTTGGTACCTGAAGATTGGAAAACAACTTTTCACATGTTGCTTACTCCAGCGCAATATGTGGTTTGGACAGTGAATTTAAACACCAATGTGCTGTGCATGCTCTTCACTCAAAGGGAGGGGTCTTCATTCCTGATCAATTGTACGGATCTGGGCCCTTTGCTCCAGTTGATGCTCAGATTAGTTTACCAGCTGCCACTTTACAGGTTTCTTCTGAATGCGCCTACCAAACATTTGGAAAAGTGCCTGTTTCTGGCAAGCCTCATCAAGCCTTCTCTAATATCAGGCAGAAGGCTACTTCTGCCTGATATTAGAGAAGGATGGTTTTTTACATGTGGTCAAGAAACTTTTAATTATATCCCTGCTAATATTAGTGAAGCACAGTGTTGTCTCAGCTGGTTGATTCCTGTTTTGCTTTCCAAACAGCAAATTCACTCATACCGTTCTTGACGTGGAGTGATGCTACGTAGCACTTGTGACTCTAAGACAGCTTTACTTAATAAAGCGGAATACGTAGCATTGGCTATATCTATAGTGGGTGTGCCAGCGATTGCTGCTCACGCTCATCTTAACATTAACACTGTTGCGTGTAATTTGGCAAAAACAATTTATGCTACTTCTTCAGCTATTTCAGCAATCAACCACGAGTTGCAAGCTTTGCAAAAGGCTATTTTACAAAACCACGCTGCTATTAATTATTTGCTTCTGTGGCAGCATTTGGGTTGTGAAAGTTTCGAAGGAATGTGTTGTTTTAACCTTTCAGATAAATCATGAACCATCCAGCACCGGCTCAATATTTTACACAATTTAGCCTCTGATTTGAAAATTGATACTTTAGGATTTTGGTGGAAAAGCCTTTGGGCTTGGTTGCCCACAGGCTTATTGGGAAATGTCCTACATTATTGAACCATTATCTGTGCTATTTTGATTGGTGGGGGCTGTTTTGCTCAGTGTCTTCCTTCCTTTTGCAATATATGCATCACAGCTTTTCGCCCTGAACCCCCTCCCACACTGCCTCAGGGTCAGGTATATGCCCTGTATAAGCAACACAAGGATGTTCCTCTCCTGATTATGACCCCCCCCCCTACGATACCTTGTCTAACAAAATAGAAAAGAGTGAGATGTAGAGATAGAGGTCATATAAAGGTTATGTAGAGGCCGTGTTCAGCAAACTGCCGCGCCTCAGTAACTTTTTACCTCAAATGTCTATGAGCTCACCTAATTAGCACCTCCAGGCAGCACCAGGAACCATCAAGATATGCGAGACTCTACCTTGCCTGGGATGTTTTTAAAAATTGACAAGAATACACCAATAATGATGCTGTTACTATATACTCTTTGCTGCTTGTTAAATACCGCAGTGCCGAGGAGCCTCGGTGGGCCTCAGATAGCCAGGCCACCTGGCCTGGTGAGGAAAGCCATCCCACATGGGAGCAGAGCAAGGCTGGAAGAGAGCCGCTTCTCCCCTGTGGCGAAGCGCATGTTCGTGGGGAGCCCTGTGCTAAATCATTCATAGACGACCTGATTGTTAAAACTGTATAAAAAGCAATAAAGTCTGTGAAGGCAGAGAGACATTTTGGGTACCCTGTTATGACTGGTTTCTGAATCGATCACTGGAAAAATCTAGAATATAATCCATCCCCTTGCTCAAGCAGGAGACCTCATACCATTTCATACAGATATGAAAAATCTTATTAAAAATCTCCAGTGATGTAACATCAACAACTTCTGATTGCAAGCTGTTCCACTAGTTAATTGTTCTCACTGTTAGGAAGTTTCTCCTTAATTTCAGGTTGCTTCTCTCCTTGATTAGTTTCCATACATTATTTCTTATTTTGCCTTCTGGTGCTTTGGAAAATAAGTTCTTTGTGGCAACCCTTTAAATACTGGAATATTGCTATCATGTCCTGACAAGTCCTTCTTTTCTCTAAAATATCAAATTCCTGAAACTGTTTTCATGTTTTTATCTCCAGGCATTTAATGATCTTAGAATAGACTCTATTATAACATCTATGAATGCTGTAGATCCTAGAGAGGATCTATCTATGTGGTTATTAAAAGGTGACATTAATCTAATGATTCTTAATCTAGTTTCAACCTAAGCATATCCACTGAAGAAGTTCTCTTGAGCCACTGCCATAGTTGCTCTTTAGTAGTTTTTCCTTACTTTCAATTGGCCTTTGCCTTCTCATATGTTAAGACCATTCTTCTATGATCTGAAACTGAGCAAGCAAGAATAGGTATTGATCTGTCTTTATATGATTTCCCTTTAGATCTTTAAACAGTCATTTCCCCTCTCAAAGTTAAAACAGTTACCACCATCGCTCCACATAATATTTAGCCCCAAGATCAACTTCATTGTGTTTCTCTGCATTTTCTTTAAATATAATACCCAGATTGGAGTTTGTATGATCAATACAAAATAGAGAACTTATTAATAGAGCAGTACAAAATTGCAATCCATCCATATTGTTTTAATTTTTATTCATATTTTCCCACCCAAGTTTGCATCATCTGGAGATCTAATAAGCATTCACTCATCTAAGTCATTAATAAAAATATTCAAGAGTAAAGGACTCAAATTTGTGACAAAGATCAAATTGTTATTCCTAGTATGATAAGGAGATATTAATGCTCTTTGATTATCATTAGAGTTTGTCATAATCAACCAAATGTTTAAACTGTCTTTAGCATATTTATTTAGCTATCAAACCCTTCCCAATGACCTGGGAGAGGCAGATATTGTTGTCTGTTGGTGTTAAAGGTATTGTTGTATATTGTAAGCTTTTTCCCAGTAAAGCTACCTTTTGCTGTTGGATGATGATGATTTTGTCAATGCCAGTGGGTAAAAATGGTATTCCAGATGTTTTGGGTTTGCACCCAAGATAATTTTCATTATTGGTAGTATTTTGCTTTCTCTTGCCAGTCATTCTAATTCTATTTGCAAATCTTCGTATTTTAAGATTTTCTCCATTTTTCTTTCTTTTCTATTCTGCTGTCTCTAGGTACTTCCATGTAAACTGTAGCTTTATTAGCTAAGCAGATAATCATAATGAATCTCAAATTGAACACTGTAGGCACAATATCCAAATTCAGTGGGATCAGAAACATTTCTACTAAACCACAATGGAGGAGCTTCGGTGAACCAGACAACACCTGACAACAAAGAAACAATGCAGTTCTGGGTGCAACTATGGGACAATCCAAAGAGATACAACAAGAATGCAGCTTGGATAAAGGAGGTGGATAAAATAAAAAAGGTGAAATGAAATAACATGTAATAACTGAATAACTAAAATGGTAGAGAAAAAGACAAAGATCAAGAATTGATCAGCATCATGTGGAGATGAACTACATGATTTTTTGGTTGAAACATCTGACTTGTCTAATCCATTTGTGGCCAAGCAGTTTAACAACATACTACAGAGGTGAAATTGAAGATTAGTTAACATCTGGTAGAATCTATATGATAGTGAAAGATCCAGCAAAAGGAGTAACAGAGGCAATTACAGACCAATTATCCACTTACCAACAACTTTCAAGTTACTAACTAGTGTGTAGCTGGTAAAGTTCAATAGCATCTAGCCGAAAACAAGCCCTTTCCACCTGAACAGAAAGAAAATTGCCCACACAGCAGAGGAACAAATGATCAACTCCTAACTGACAAAATGATTTTTGAAAACTGTAAGAAGGAAGACCAACTTGAATGTAATGTAGTGTAGCTTGGATTGATTACAAGAAACCATTCAACTCCCTGACATGTTTGGACAATCAAATGCCTAGAAATAAGAGTCAGTAGAAACCTGACATTTACCATATTTTTCAGAATATAAGATGTACCACCTCCCCCCCAAAAAGTGGGTGGAAATGTCTGTGTCTCTTATATAGCAAATATAGGGGAGAGGGGGGTTTGTGCAATGCCAATCAGCTCTTCTAGAATGGGCCACGGCTGCAAACAGGCCCCAGCAGCAGCAAACAGGTGCTCGTTCATATAATCATTTCTAATAAATTGTGAACATGGAAACAAAACAAACCAGAGTTAAATGCATGACATTTCTCAAATATGTTAGATAAAGTACAGGTAATCCTTAATTTACAACCACAATTAAGTCCAAAATTTCTGTTGCTAAGCAAGGTAGTTATTGAGTGAATTGCACCCCATTTTATAACCTTTTTCACAGTTAAGCAAATTACTCATTAAGTGAATTATGCAGTTGTTAAGTGAATCTGGCTTTCCCCATTGACTTGGCTTGTCAGAAGCCAGCTGGGAAGGTTACAAATGCGGATAACATGATTCCAGGACAGTGCAACGGTCATAAATACATGCCAGTTGCCAAGTGCCTGAATTTAGATCACATGATCAAGGAGATGCTGCAACAGCCATAACTGTGAAAACCAATCATAAATTGCTTTTTTTTCAGTACCATTATAATTTCAGAGTCAACGTTGTAAATTGAGGACCACTTGTAAGTGTAAACATAATATCCCCTTCATGGTTTTTTTTTCAGCAAAAAAGCTGGCTAGCAATTATAACAGA